TGAAGAAATCTTGCCAGGAAAACCCTATGATAGGTTTGCCTTAGGGTCGCCAGAAGTCAAAAATGACTTGGCGGCACACAAGGAGAAGCAATGACGTACTTTAATCCAAAATCATCCAAAATCCACCTTTATTGGGTAACCAAAAGGCACAAAAAACATGGTTGCAAGCTTTCGAAGCTCCTCTGGCTTCTTCATCGGGGAAAGGTGTTAAAAATGATACCCCTTTGGCGGATGAAGAAGCCAGTAGAGCTTCAAAAGCTTACAGCCATGTATAATGTGCATTAGGGTTGGCCCCATAAAGGTATCACTGCCTTGTGGATTTTGGGTGATGCTGTATTTTGCTATATGGCCAACAGGGCTACCCCTAGCTATGTTTGCTTTACATTTGTCTCTTTCGTGGTTGTGTGCCTCCAAGTCATTTCTGTCTGATAGTGCCCCTAAAGAGAACCTATCCCAGGGTTTTCTTGGCAAGTTTCTTCAGAGGGGTGGTTTGCCATTGCCTTCTCTTGAGGCTGAGAGAGTGTGACTTCCCCAAGTCCACCCTATGTGGTAGAATTACCTGCAGTTTGACACCCACTTGATCTTCAATGGCTCCGTCCTACAGAAGTCTGGGATTTGTAGTTTGGGGAGGCACCAGCACTCTTGAGCAGAGACAGCTCAAGACCGTGTAAAACTACAGATCCCAGGGCTTCATAGGATGGAGTTATAGCCCTTAAAGAGGACTTATCAGACTTACAAATCTTGTGAGCAGTCCTCACATGCAAGAGGCTGAACTGCTTGCAATTCATGTCATGTTTCTAGCAAGGTTTTCTTTTAGACTTTCCAGTTTGAGCGTCTGTTTGGGGCAGATAGGCAAGCTGTAAGGAAAAAAAATGAAGCTCTTTGGCACTTAAAAAATTGGGTTTTCCAAACTTTCTTGTGCCTTATTGGGTTTCTTTTCACTCTATCTCCCAGTATTCAGTTCCTTGCCAAACAGAGTGTGTGGAATATCATCCTGCTCATTCCTTTCTTCCCTACAGTGCTTAGCACACCTTCTCAGCCTCTTCTGTGGAGTGACATTTTTGATTCCACTGTTTATAATATTTGGGGTTTTGTTTGGTGGTTTTTCTTTGCCTGCGTGTATGCACAAGCATATAGATATATTCTGCCCATTCAGATCCATTTGACAACATGGGGGTCTACTCCTCAAAAATCAGAGCTTACAAATTCCAAAATTCTGGCTGACGGTTTTTGTGATTTGTAGTTCAAAACATAACTTTTTCATGCTTTGCTCTACTGCTTGTAAGAAACCTGTTGATCTTGAAAGAGCTCATTTTAAGAAATTTTCTTTCTCTCTCTACCCTCTTTGTAGTCTTAGGGTGCATCTACACTCTAGAAATAATGCAGCATGGCACCAGTTTAAGTGTTCCATCCTATGAAATTCTGGGATTGCTAGTTTTCCAAAGTCTTTCGCCTTCTCTGCCAAAGAGTGCTAGTGCCTCACCAAACTACAGATCCCAGGATTCTATAGGATGGAGCCATGGCGGTTAAAGTGGTACATTATTTCTGCAGCGTAGATGCACCTCTAGTACTTTTGGTAGATGTTGAAATAACAGTGGACATTCTGTATCATTTATGACTCGATCCATTTGAACAAACAGGCTTCAATAGAGTCAGGATAGAGCTCAGTGTGCTAGTATTTCAGTAGAATTCAAAGCTATAGCCATGTTAGTCTGGAAAATCAGTATGCAAAGGGATCTGGTAGCACCTTTGAGACTAGAAAGGGCCTTTACAGACTGCAGAAATAGTGCAAATTGAGGACACTTTAACTGTCCTGGCTCAGTGCTAGGGAATCATGGGAATTGTATTTTTTTCTGGGACATTGAGCCTTCTCTGCCAGAGAGCTCTGGTGCCACAATAAACTACACTTCCCATGATTCCTTAGCACTGAGCCAGGGCAGTTAAAGTGGCCTCAATTTGCACTATTTCTGGCAGTCTGAAAGAAGTTGGTAGCATTAACTTTCGTAGACTTGAACCTACAGCTGCATGGGGTTGTTTTTTGTTTGTTTGTTCAGTGTTCATCAAGCTGAATTAATTTAATTCAAGACCCAATATTAGCTGTGCTTATTCAGAAGGAAACCTGAATTAGAGGGGACTGAGCCATGGGGCAGGGTTTGGGGGTGGCATTTATGCCCATGCTTGCTTTGGCTGAATTTGATGCCGTGCGCTATGTATAGTTGAGTAATCGGAGGATTAGGTCATCTTCTTTGGCACGCTACTAAGATTGTAAGATCAAACTTGTTCAGTACTATTGGGGCCAAGATTCAGTAAATTGCTCCACTAATTCCATATGCTCAAGAATGCCTTGGGCTTATAATTCTTCCCCTGCCTGATAGTTGTTGTGATGCGCCTTCAAGATGTTTCTCACTTATGGAGACCTTCTTAAGTTGAACCTATCACAGGGTTTCCTTGGCACGATTTGTTCAGAGTGGGGTTGCTGTTGCCTGCCGCTGGGGCTGAGAGAGTGTGACTTGCCCAAGCTCACCCAGTGGGTATCCATGGCAGAGGGGATTTGAACCCTGGTCTCCAGAGTTTTAGTCCAAAACTCAAATAACTGCACCATGTTGGGTCAACCCTGCCTGGCTAATACAGTTTAGCAAAAGACGCTTGATTTTTATGGAACTGGGAAATGCAGTTTGCAGTACATCAGAGGTGAAGCTATTTGAAACTAGAAGTCCCACTGAGGGACTAACTAAAGAAATTGCTTAAAATAACTTTTTTTAGATCCTGGCTTTGTACACAACTGAATTTTTAAAAACAAATGAATTAAAAAACACATTGGAGATGGGGAAGGAGCGAAAAATGTACAATGTATCCCATTTGTCAACCTCTCCCATTATATATGTATTTAATTGATTTATATCGCCCTTATTTTCTAGCATGGGACTGAAAGCGGGTTTAAATCAAATTAAAAAGCAAGTACACTAAAAACCTATTTGATGCTAAGCGTTTTTTAAAGTAAATAATCAGTTCTGTTAAACCTGAAACTGCAACAGTTAAAAAAACCTATTAAAGTGTAGTAAAGAGATAAGAGCTTAATACAAACTATTAAAATGATCTTTATGGTACAGTGACTTAAAAGCTGAATGCCTGTCTTAATTTTAAAAAAACATCTTTGCAATCGGTCCTCCGTATCCACGGATTCTCCATCCACGGATTCCCCCATTCACAGCTTGAAAATATTTTT